TTTCTTTTTTTTTCTCTCAGGAAACTGAAAGTTATCAAGAACCTATACCCAAAAAGTAAAAAGTAGGCACTATGCTGGCTACTTTCACATGTACAACTCAAATTAATCTTGTGACTTAATGAGGTAAGTATTATTGTATATTTTTTAAAAGATGGGGAAATTGTGGCTCAGAAAAGCTAAGTAACTTGTCCAAGGTCACATAATTAGTAGGGCAAACTCAGGTCTCTCTGCCTCTGAAGTCCCTTCTCTTTCCCCTATACCACGCCATCTTCCTAACAGGGGTTGCTGGCCCCATTTCCAGTAAAGTTAGCATGCTTTTAAAGAAAGAGAAGCATTTAAAGGACTAGGTTCAGAATAATTCCCTTACACAGAGGCAGAGGACAGAAGTAAAACTTTGCCATTTTGGCCACTGAATAATTGTTGTGAAACTACAGGACTCTCTTTTAAATCCTTACATACTCTACTTTGTTATAGTAGTAAAAAAACACATAATTTTAAATTTACTGTTTTACCATTTTCATGTGTAACAGTCTGGGAGTGTTAAATACATTCACATTGTTCTGCAACAGATCTCTAGGACATTTTCATCTAGCAAAACTGAAACTCTATACCTATTAAAAACTAACTGCCCCTCCCCTGTTCTCCCAGCCCTTGGCAACCATCTTTCTACTTTTCGTTTCTATGATTTTGACTACTTTAGATATTTGATGAGTGGACTCATACAGTATTTGTCCTTTTGTGACTGGCTCATTTCACTTAGCACACTATTCTCAAGGTTCACCTGTGTTGTAGCACAGCATGCGACAGGACTGAATCCTATGTGCTCTTCTTGATACTCTTTCTTCTAATTGTCTATGCCATAAAATTCAGATCTCTGTTATATGCCATCTGACACTGCTCTCCAATTGTTTCATGTGTATATGGCTCTTTCTCCCTGCCAGATAGTAACATCCTAGTGACCAAACACCATGTTTAAAAAGTCTTTTAGATCCTACCCAGCACCCAACACTATGCTAAGAACATAGAAAATACACTATAGTCAGTAAATTCTGTGATATCAGGGACTATTCTGTTTTATTTTGTGCTAGTCTCTACCATTTAACATAATGCTGACATCAAGAAAATGCATAGGACATATTTTTAGGACCAATTAATAAACTCCTTATTTCTGAGGACTGATTGTGAATGAAAAGATGAGAAGTGAGAAACTTGACTCTCCAGTAACTTTTGTGAGAAATAATCTAAAGGAAAGGAGGAAAGTATTAGCTAAACTAGAATCAGAAATCTCTGAAAAATGTGTTCCTAAAAATTATGTAAATCAGAATGCCAGACTCTTTATACTACTGAAAAGTAAGAGGGCAGAAGGACAGAGTAACATCAAAAATGGCCCAAATTTCCAAGATTTCCCATTCCTTGGTAGAATGTTCTCTAGAGACCACAGCCAGGCCGAGCAGCCCATGCCCACGATGCCTTGTCCTATGACAAAAAGTAGGAACAAACTCATAGCTGTGCTCTTTTTTCAAATTCCCCCACCTTTAATATCGAGGAACAGACAAATCCCCAGGATGTGTGTGTGAAAAAGCCAGAGATGGATAAAAATAATTCAATGACAAATGCTGGAAAAACACACAAAGGGGCAGAAGCCAGACATTCGTGGGATTCCCTGACAGCTTGATCCGCAAGGAAGGGCTGGACTGGAAAAAAACAGGGCCTCAGGTTCCTGCCAAGCTGTCTGAGGCCCTGTCCTTCCCAAATCATTCCAAGCAGCAGCCAAGACTTTACAGTAACCCTTCCAGGTCTCACAAAGAAAAATGCACTATGAACTCACTTGAGTGCTCCTCATCTAGAAAATTCTCCCTGATGTGGTCCAATTGCACAGAAGGCTGGCAGTAATGAGGAGATGCCTCTGCACATCAACTCTCAGCTCCTAATGACTCCCCATGTGCCCAGAAAACAGATAATTAAAAGACAGCTTGAAAAATCTAATCTTTCTCATTGGCTAAAGAAAAGCTGAAATATCCAGGTATCAACATCTAGAAACCGAAAATATCACTTTATGAAAAAAGAGGCCATAACCACTTTATACCTGCATCCTGGAGTCCCTATTGTATAATTTAAAGCCGGCCTTGCTTGGAGGCACACCTCAGGCTTCTAAACATGTGACTGTATTTGGCTCTAACTACTTTCTCTTCTGGAGAATGGCCTGTAATTAATCTCACTTATTACCTCTGAAAAGTAACAACAGAGGAATGGCTGGCCAAGTCCAACTCCAGAGTGTCTAGGGAACTGCAAGCTACACAGCCAGGCCTCAGACTGTCTGGGCAAGTCATGGGCTCTTTGCCTTCCTCTCCCACAACAAAGCCTGAACAGGGACGCCAGACAGACCAAAGGAACCAGGGGATTTGAGGAGCTGGGTTGAGCTTACACTGACCCAATGGGAGACGACAATCCTGAGGCTACATTTGGGGTAGTTTCAAAACAGAGGGGGAGGGGAAAGAGCAAGGTTGTTTGGTGAAAATTTGTGTGATCCATAAAATTGAGAACAATAGCAACACCACAGGGACATTCCTGTGGCTACCAAGTCATTGAATTCTCCAACATGCAGAGATGAAAAGTACAGCCAGCAATGGGATTCTCTTTACATCTCTGTACAGTTTACAGGGCAGTCCCTAGTTTAGCGAATTATCAGAGTTTAGAGTTTATCAGCCCTGGAATCCACTGTTGCTATTGTAGAAAAACTAGTAAGAGTACCTTTATTTATTTAGCACCCACTTGCAGGGAGATCAAAGTGCTTTAAAGGCAATCTAAAAGCTCTCAAAACAGGCCAGCTTATATGTAAGTATTCTTACCCAATAAAAAGATTAAATGAATAGCTTAGGGTCACTTAGTGTCAAAACCAGTAATAAAACTCACATCTCTTGGCTACAAATCCCACATTCATTAAACTTAGTCACCCTTACTACTAAAGGAGGAACAACAAGAGACTAAATAAATACCCACACAGCAGTGACTTACCAGGTAAAAATGGAAATCAGGATGTCGTGCTGGGCAGAATGTGTGCTGTGGGTCTGGCTGGAGCCGACATCATAGCCAGGTGTGGAAGAACCTCTGAGAATTCACGGAGGGCTGCTTTGGGGTGGGTACCTCTGGGAATTCCATGTGAGATTGACAGTCCCAAGCTGAGCCTCTAGGCTGTCCTGGCAACCAGAGGTTACCTGGGGGTAGAGATTTCCCAGGGCTACCCTGGATTGGAATGGGGCCTGAAAACTGGCCCTTGTGCTTCAAGAGAGGTAAAGAGAGAGCTGTTGTGGACACAATGAACTCGAAAAGGAAAAGACCAGGAGACTTCCTGGGAGTTGCTTTTTGGCTGCAAGGGTTCTAAAGTAAGTTGTGTAATGTGCCATTTTACTGCAGCCTCATGAGCACGGTCTGGCTGGGAAAAGGCCACTCACAGTGCTGGTCTCCAGGCTCTGCTTCAACCTTGACCAATCCCATCATCTTTTATCTCAGTACTAACAGGTGCTACCAAAAGAAAGCCCTAAACCATAATTTTTATTAAAATTTTTTCCCTCATTCCATCTACAAGTATAAAAAGTGCTAAAACTCTACTCCCAAATGTGTAGTTTTGACATTTTGTTTACAGTATGGAAAATGCCTGTAGCCTTGTCGTACAGACAGTATATCCAAAATTGCAGTGAAAATGTTTTCCATAAAAACAAGGCTCAGATTTTAAAATGAAAATGGAATATTTGGAAATATTTTATATGGAAAATAAAGCTCTATGGTACAAACAGAATTTCTTTTTTACGACTTATGTTTTAGGAATGCGGTTACTCTGTAGATTGTAAATCACCAAACAGCAGACTTCCCCTATGAAGAGAACAGTGTGGATACCCTGCCTTAAAAAGTATAGCCTCTTAGTCTTCAATTCTTTACAATTCTCATTGAGATGATTCTTTTCACCATGACCACAGTGATCATGGGTATGAAAGACACTGTACCACAGCATGATGTAATGTGCTTATTTATGTTGCTTCCCAGGCAGAGTTTCTGCTTCCCAAATTAGTTCCTTAAGTAATAATTCAGACACCAACAGATAATTTACCAACAATTAGGTATTTCCTCCCTGCCCAAGTCTTCGGTTCCCCCTCCCAACCTCAGGGCAAAGCAGCATACTAAGAGCAGAGGCTGGCAGTACTGGCATGGGGCGTGGGGACTCAGTGGGACACCTATGGGAGAGCTTGTTTATTTGGAAGGAACAATATCTCAGCTGGTCAGAATACTTCACCCTAATAGTCACATCTCTCTCTAGCTCATATGACTCAGGGACTGATGCAATTTAATCCATATTTAATAGCCACTAAAGCAAGATGTACTGGGAATCCATTTCTTACACTTTTTATATAGGGGTAATTAAAATAGGGAGTCAGAACAGAATTCAATACAGTGGTTTGTTTTTTAATTCAAAAGTTGCTTACATTACAGCCAGAATCTATTTGGATTTTTCACTCAGTCATTTCTTTCAACTACATAAAGGAAATTTCCTTCCTACTTCCCAAATGAACATTAAGCAGGAAGGCTGTTTAATTACATGAAACTAGATGAAAACAAAAAACAAATATGTCCTTCAAAGGAAAAGAGTCTAAAAGTTACCGAAACACAATGTAGCACAAGGCATAAAAAAAGAACTAAGAGGATAAAATGTCAAACATTAGTACATGAAAATGTTAACTATAAGCAAGGATTAAACACAATATAAATTCCTGCTCTGTCACCCAAAAGCAGTTTTCTTAACTGTCTCAGAAATTTCCATTTCATTTGATTTTCCTGAAAATTGTCTTACAAATAAAATGAGGCTCTCTTTTCAACTGCCAGAGGATCTGGACAGGTGAAGAACAGGTATCTGCCTTCCTGTATAGAACTCAAGGTGGGAATGGCTTGCTTGGGATGTGGGCCATTCCTGTGCAACTCAAATGCTAGCCCCAGGGCCCTTCACATACCTGCTTCCAGGAGGGCTGGAGTGGTCCTCGGGTGGTTGGGGATCTGACTGTATTGACCATGTCGGGCCACTAGGAATGATGACAGGGCGAAGGGTGGGGGGAGTTGAAGCACTGCTTCTGTTTATGATGCCAGTTGCCAAATTCAGGTTTGTTACCTAGAAATGAAGTGAGGGAAATAACCTGATTTTAGAGAGTTTTAGAAAAGTATCATTAAAAATATATGAGAAAAATCAAGTCAAGTCCAACAGATGGTAACCCCTCCAAGCTGAAGCTGTGGCTGTGACAAAGGCACCCAGGAAGGACTGGCTTTGTGTGCAAGGAGCAGAAGTGAGGGTGGGTAGTGTCAACATAAGCTAACAAGCATTTACGCTGCCTCTACTATGTGCACAGCACTGGACTGTGCCACATGCTGTGAAAAGCGAAGACGGTTAACAAAAACAAGAATTTACTATTTACGCTGTGCCAGGAAATGTTCAAAGAAACTAGGCAACTATTTAGCCTTTCTGGCCCTTGTTTCTTCACCTAAAAGTTCTAAATGCTCAATATATTTTAGTTATAAATAATAACTGGCCAAGTCCAACTCCAGAGTGTCTAGGGAACTGCAAGCTACACAGCCAGGCCTCAGACTGTCTGGGCAAGTCATGGGCTCTTTGCCTTCCTCTCCCACAACAAAGCCTGAACAGGGACGCCAGACAGACCAAAGGAACCAGGGGATTTGAGGAGCTGGGTTGAGCTTACACTGACCCAATGGGAGACGACAATCCTGAGGCTACATTTGGGGTAGTTTCAAAACAGAGGGGGAGGGGAAAGA